TAGACATGACTACCAACGTGACATGACATGGACTATAAGAAGGATGTGGATAGACAGGACTACCAACGTCACATGACATGGACTATAAGAAGAAGGTTGTGGATAGACAGGACTACCAACGTCACATGACATTGACTATAAGAAGAAGGGTGTGGATAGACATGACTACCAACGTCACATGACATGGACTATAAGAAGAAGGTTGTGGATAGACAGGACTACCAACGTCACATGACATGGACTATAAGAAGAAGGTTGTGGATAGACATGACTACCAACGTCACATGACATGGACTATAAGAAGAAGGTTGTGGATAGACAGGACTACCAACGTCACATGACATGGACTATAAGAAGGATGTGGATAGACAGGACTACCAACGTATCATGACATGGACTATAAGAAGGATGTGGATAGACAGGACTACCAACGTCACATGACATGGACTATAAGAAGAAGGTTGTGGATAGACAGGACTACCAACGTCACATGACATGGACTATGAGAAGAAGGATGTGGATAGACAGGACTACCAACGTCACATGACATGGACTATAAGAAGAAGGTTGTGGATAGACAGGACTACCAACGTCACATGATATGGACTATGAGAAGAAGGTTGTGGATAGACATGACTACCAACGTCACATGACATGAACTATAAGAAGAAGGTTGTGGATAGACAGGACTACCAACGTCACATGACATGGACTATAAGAAGAAGGTTGTGGATAGACAGGACTACCAACGTCACATGACATTGACTATAAGAAGAAGGATGTGGATAGACATGACTACCAACGTCACATGACATGGACTATAAGAAGAAGGTTGTGATAGACATAATTACCAACTCCACAATTTTTGAACTATTAGAAGAATGGTGTGGATAGACATGACTACCTACGCCTCAATTCTTGAACTAATAGAAGAAGGGTGTGGATAGACAGGACTACCAACGCCACAAGTCATAGAAGAGGCTTGCTACTGCTTTCTAGAGAGTTGATGCTCACGTCACTGTGTAAATCAGAGCAAAGCGGCGTGCAACCTTGTCACACGATGCTGACTTCAAACCTGGTATGTCGTGTTTATGAAACAATGTTTATAATCTCTAATCAATAGAGAACGGTGCTTGTTATGAGAGCGATAGAAAGTTACGTTAAAAAAAAAAAACTACACAGGAGTTAAAACGGGAAATGGAAGTTAACTACACAGGAGTTAAAACGGGAAAGGGAACTTAACCCTCTGTGAAGAATTTGCACCCCCCCCCCCCCCCATATACAGATGCGCTTATATACACACGTATACACAGCTATTATACAGGAAAGTAAAACGAAATAGGTGACATGTGTGTGACCGGAAGCAATCGAACACTTACCCAAGATATGCCAGTCGGGTCTGAGGTCTGACAGAATGAAACACGTTGGACAAAGACGACAGTCGTGGTGATGCCACTGATACGTCCCTCTGCTAAACTATGTACATCACATACAGCTACCGACAGTCAGTCTCATAAGTGTGTGCAAAAGTGGGCGGTCTTTGTAGGCATCTGTATTGCCCGTATTGTCATTAAACTTGTGTAAATACTGTCTGTGTATGTATGGATGGTTAGGTTCTGGGCTAGAGTTGAGGAAAACACTCATCGCAACCAAGTATTTGAGGTCATATAAGATTTTCCAGACACTGTTTGCCTTCATTATATTCCTTTTGGTGTACATCTACACGAATGGTGTGCAAAAACGTTATATATAATCATCATCTTGTAACAGGTCCTTGACAGAACGTGACTGTCATCACGGCACAAGAGGGAGCCACTTGTCAACTCTGGCGCCTCGTGAACTTCCATGCTCGGGGTATCCTGGATTTCCAGTGTCTTTCATTTGGTGCTATACTGCTGAGAGCGCTAATCCCGAAGCTATTTACACTCCAGCCCCCCCCCCCCCCCCCCTCCCACCTTTTCTCCCCCCCTCCCCCCCCCCCAAGTAAACGTTAGGATAATTAGGCAGTCAGAAAACTGACAGTATGCACGTGTGGGGGAAAACATGCCCCCCCCCCCCAAAAAAAAAAAGGGGGGGGGGGTAGATGTTGTCAGTGTCAGTACCCAGCTAATGGAGATGGACTCTTCAACCAGCTGTGCCCCTCACAACAAACAAAGAGAACAAAGAAAGCATGTATTTATGTTCACTTTATTCAATCCAACAATCAGTTTCTACCTTACAATGGCCAGACACTTCTGTGATCGCTTGCTGTGTTGTTACACTTGGATCATACTTATATCTGATGCCGTGGACTGTCCAGTCTTGTGGTTCTGCCAGAAGATGTGCTTTGTTTATGTTTCATTGCTTTGATCCGTTCCTGTTTGATAGCCAGCTTGTCTTAAACACAGCTTCTCCAAGACTGCTGCTGCATTTCTCTAACTGGGCGTACAAGCTACCTAACCTAGAGTGTGATTGTACACAACCAACTTAACACGATCTCCTTATACAATGAACGAAACAGAGGAAATTATAGCAAAGTTAAGCTCGTGTTTCTTTTATATACAAGTTTTTTTTTTTTTTTTTCTCAAGTTTAAATGTTTAACAGAGACTGACGAGTTTGTCTTTCTTTTGTAAATAAGTAAATATGAGCAACTTTAGACTGGAGTGTTGGGTTCATGTTTTTGGATAAGAAAAACCAAGTCATGAAAAGTAAAGAATTCATTTCATACCATTGGTGTATCGACCACATGAGTTTAGACCATGTTTATCCATGGCTGTGTGATGTGATCAACGTCATGTCGCTGAGAACGTCATGTCGCTGTGTGATGTCATCAACGTCATGTCGCTGGGTGATGTCAACAACGTCATGTCGCTGTGTGATGTCAACAACGTCATGTCGCTGTGTGATGTCAACAACGTCATGTCGCTGTGTGATGTCAACAACGTTATGTCGCTGTGTGATGTCAACAACGTCATGTCGCTGTGTGATGTCAACAACGTTATGTCGCTGTGTGATGTTAACAACGTCATGTCGCTGGGTGATGTCATCAACGTCATGTCGCTGTGTGATGTTAACAACGTCATGTCGCTGGGTGATGTCATCAACGTCATGTCGCTGTGTGATGTCAACAACGTCATGTCGCTGGGTGATGTCATCAACGTCATGTCGCTGTGTAATGTCAACAACGTCATGTCGCTGTGTGATGTCATCAACGTCATGTCGCTGGGTGATGTCAACAACGTCATGTCGCTGTGTGATGTCAACAACGTCATGTCGCTGTGTAATGTCAACAACGTCATGTCGCTGGGTGATGTCAACAACGTCATGTCGCTGGGTGATGTCATCAACGTCATATCGCTGTGTGATGTCATCAACGTCATGTCGCTGAGTGATGTCATCAACGTCATGTCGCTGTGTAATGTCAACAACGTCATGTCGCTGAGTGATGACATCAACGTCATGTCGCTGTGTGATGTCATCAACGTCATGTCGCTGGGTGATGTCAACAACGTCATGTCGCTGTGTGATGTCAACAACGTTATGTCGCTGTGTGATGTCAACAACGTCATGTCGCTGGGTGATGAAATCAACGTCATGTCGCTGTTTAATGTCATCAACGTCATGTCGCTGGGTGATATCAACAACGTCATGTCGCTGTGTGATGTCAACAACGTCATGTCGCTGTGTGATGTCAACAACGTCATGTCGTTGGGTGATGTCATCAACGTCATGTCGCTGTGTGATGTCATCAACGTCATGTCGCTGTGTGATGTCAACAACGTCATGTCGCTGGGTGATGTCATCAACGTCATGTCGCTGTGTAATGTCAACAACGTCATGTCGCTGTGTGATGTCATCAACGTCATGTCGCTGGGTGATGTCAACAACGTCATGTCGCTGTGTGATGTCAACAACGTCATGTCGCTGTGTAATGTTAACAACGTCATGTCGCTGGGTGATGTCATCAACGTCATGTCGCTGTGTGATGTCATCAACGTCATGTCGCTGTGTGATGTCATCAACGTCATGTCGCTGAGTGATGTCATCAACGTCATGTCGCTGTGTAATGTCAACAACGTCATGTCGCTGTGTGATGTCATCAACGTCATGTCGCTGGGTGATGTCATCAACGTCATGTCGCTGGGTGATGTCATCAACGTCATGTCGCTGGGCGATGTCATCAACGTCATGTCGCTGGGTGATGTCATCAACGTCATGTCGCTGGCGTTTAACACCCATGACATTTCCTGCTACACAGTTGAAGCTATGTGGAACTGGCAGGCTAGATGAAGTCTATAGGCATGCGTTGATAAAAACTAACGCCCGGCTCTCTAGCGAAGTTGGTTAAACCTGACTTTCGCGGCGGCCGGGTGACGAACTCCTTGTGGTCCGGGTTCACTCCCGGGGGTAGGCAGAAAAGCCACATTTCTCCCAGATTAACGGTACCTATAATGGAATCAAGGCTGAAGGGTTGCGATATCCATAGTACCGAGCCAAAGTGTTTACAACTCATGGTTTCTGGATACGTTAAAAAAAAAAAATAAAAACTAACGTATTTCAGAGACTGATGAGTTCATATTTCAAATAAAAATAAGTAACTACATTATTATAACGGAAAGTAAAAGTTTTTATGACGAAAAGAAGTGTTCCGGTAATACTCAAAAACAAGATAAGACAAATAAGCTTCAACAACAAACAGAGCAGTACCGACTACAAGAAAGGTGTTGTAGTAATTCCCTTCTATATATGTTTAACTAAGTTTGTGGGCTTTCGGGACTTGTATGAAATAAAAACAATATGTTTTTATTATAGCACCATATATCCAATAGACCCCAAAGCTTGAAATGGGAGCTTTACTTTTGTAAATTGGTCTCCAACATCATATATTAAAAAAAAACTGAACATATAATTGTTATTGAACATAAAGGTCTTATTTATAAGTTTGACAGTTGGAAGCGCAAACAGTTACATGTCATTACAAGCAGGGACTCTAACAGAACAAGCACTGTGCTGGAACTCATCAGTCGACCACGAAGGTCTCTCTGTACGAACATATACAGGCGATTGGTAAACTCTCATAGGCGAATCTGTATCTGAAAGCTCCGTTCTCACACACCCGACGGATCACGTGAAATGACTGGTAGAGCGGCCGGCATAGATGCTGTACGCCGTTGGGGGAAGCACACCTACCACACGAGCATTGAGCGTAGACCATTTGATGTGGGAATCTGCAGACAGAGTCATCAAGATTAGGCACAGATCATTTTCCAACATAATCAAACATGTAAGCAATATGCAACAGTCAGATACAGGATGTACTTGTGGAGAAAAATATACAACCAGATCAAGGCCGTTATTGGAACCGACTGGAACACGCCACAATTAGAATACAGACCCGAAGACCCACTCAATCAGCCTCCACACAGAAAATCAACAAACATCACAGAGATGGCCACACAATGACTATATAGGCTAAGACACTGGAGAAGCTTTGCTACCTGAACACCTTCGCCTACAAGCTCCTCCTGGGGTCACCAGTAGTCTTCAACAAACGCCCTGGTTATGTGCCCACACTTTAGCTCCCAAATAACCTATACACAATGGCTGACTAGAGGCTGGCTATGGCCACGGCACTACGCTTCCCGACCCACAGTTGCTATCAGCCTCCAATGCGATCACATCCATCGCAGTTGGGTCATAAAGAGATGTTGGGCTCTCAACGCCTTGTCACTCAACGCCTACGTCACTCAACGCCTACGTCACTCAACTGGAGCATTCCAAAAAAAAAAAAAATATACTGAACAATCCAAGCTTCAACCAGAATAAAATAATACACATGATTACACTTGAAAGTCACACACACGTCGGAACTCTATCACAAACTGAGGGGCACTAACTGGACAACCACGGATTTCTTCCAGCGCAGCGTCTGGCCACGCACGAGTCTGGCAAAATGCGTGAATCCGCTCTCTATCGCTAAACTCGAGAAACATCCGTCTCTCCCTTTAACTGAGTGGATTTTTTGGCACTCGCCACTACTATCATCATCATCATCATCATCTGGCTCCTCCACTACTGGCGTAGGCGATCACTGCTCTGACGCCTGGTACACTTGAACAGCAAAGTGAGTTTAGCACACAACAAGTTGCTTGATCTATTGAAATTAAAGTGAAATCTTTATAACGCTTTTGCTAGGACTGACAATTTTACTACAGATCGATGAAAATAAACAACAAGTAGTGAACAGGGGCAGGTGAGAATAATACTGGTACCACGGGAATGTCAAGTCTACACTGGCTGCTGAAAGGGTGGTCATGTCAATATCCCGAGTGCTGTGGTTTGAGGTTTGAGGTTTGAGGTTTGAGGTTTTAAGAACGGATCAACACCATAGCACACGGGTAGTCACCCATAAGTGCTCAGTTTTTCTTCTAACTCAAGTCGGAGTCTGAAGAAGCTCAGCACAGTGCACATGCTCTGTAGCTCCAGCGGGGATGCTGAAATACTTTGAGTAGATTTATAACTCAAAATGTTTGCCCGGGCAGCGCTATTAGGCTACTCTTTTCGATTTCCAACTGCTAAAATTGTTTACCTGCGCAACAATGCACACGGGCGTCCGATCTCACTACCGAGAGATCAGGAGGAATTACTAGAAGTTCGTCCACGTGAAAAAATCCCATCCCTTACCAGGGATAGAACCCGGAACCTTCAGCACTCGAGGCAGACACCCGTCTTAGAGACCACGCTGCACCCCTCGAGTGCTGTAATGTCGGCTCATCACTCAGTACAACTCTGATCAGTCCATCCTTAAAAACAAATGTCTAACATCATCATGTGCCTAATGTGTCCGCCATCACCAATCCCAAGCACAGATCAAGAAGTAAAACGGTCGCGCATGGGACCAGCCATAAACCCTGCCAAACTTGCTACATAAACTGAAATGGGAAACAACAGGACTGAGGGAGAGAGCCTACTAAAGGAAACCCTGAGACGAACTCTTTTGTGTAAGACCGAATGGCTTGGCTTGGCTTTTTTACCCCACCAGGACATCACACAAGCGATAAACACCCGATGACACAAAGTGCCACCATGCGGATGAGGATCACCGTGGAGAGGTCCCAGAAACCGCGTTCAGACATTTGGCCATAATGATGACCTGCCTATATTGCGGCCCCTGGCAAAAGCCAGAGTGGGGCTTCAAATATAAAAAAATAACGTCCTAAGAAGGACGTTAGGAGTAATAAAGACCGAATGTCTAGCAACGATAACTTTAATAACTTTAATTTGATTTCTCTTTATGCGTCACGTCACGTATATATATATAATATATATATATATATATATATATATATATATATATATATATATATATATATATATATATATATATATATGTGTGTGTGTGTGTGTGTGTGTGTGTGTGTGTGTGTATTATATATATATTGTATAGAAATTTGATAAGGAATTGGGTAAAACAGATTTATAAATGGGTTAACTTGTTTATAACAAATGTGACTTCGATCTGTGAAGGATAAATTTTATGTGCAAGAGGGAGAAATTTATTTGCGAAAAGGACGAACATGGTTGGCCCAAGACTGGCTCCAGCTGACGGGCCATACTGCTGACGTCACCGGGTCCGGCTATTGATGCGTTAACGCAGCGGTTCTCAAACTGGACGCTGACACCCTGGAGTGCCGTGAACGTATGCCGGGGGTGCCATGAACGTATGCCGGGGGTGCCGTGAGCGTATGCCGGGGGTGCCGTGAGCGTATGCCGGGGGTGCCGTGAAAGTATGCCGGGGGTGCCGTGAGCGTATGCCAGGGGTGTCGTGAGCGTATACCGGGGGTGCCGTGAACGTATGCCAGGGGTGCCGTGAGCGTATGCTGGGGGTGCCGTGAACGTATGCCGGGGGTGTCGTGAACGTATGCCGGGGGTACCGTGAACGTATGCCAGGGGTGCCGTGAACTTATGCCGGGGATATACCGTGAACGTATGCCAGGGGTGCCGTGAACGTATGCCGGGGGTGCCGTGAACGTCTGCCGGGGGTGCCGTGAACGTATGCCGGGGGTGCCGTGAGCGTATGCTGGGGGTGCCGTGAACGTATGCCGGGGGTGTCGTGAACGTATGCCGGGGGTACCGTGAACGTATGCCAGGGGTATCGTGAACGTATGCCGGGGATATACCGTGAACGTATGCCAGGGGTGCCGTGAACGTATGCCGGGGGTGCCGTGAACGTATGCCGGGGGTGCCTTGAACGTATGCCGGGGGTGCCGTGAGCGTATGCTGGGGGTGCCGTGAACGTATCCTTTGGGTGTCGTGAACGTATGCCAGGGGTGCCGTGAACGTATGCCGGGGGTACCGTGAACGTATGCTGGGGATATACCGTGAACGTATGCCAGGGGTACCGTGAACGTATGCCGGGGGTGCCGTGAACGTATGCCAGGGGTGCCGTGAACGTATGCCGGGGATATACCGTGAACGTATGCCAGGGGTGCCGTGAACGTATGCCGGGGGTGCCGTGAACGTATGCCGGGGGTGCCGTGAACGTATGCCGGGGGTACCATGAACGTATGCCGGGGATGCCGTGAGCGTATGCCGGGGGGGGGGGGGCGTGAACGTATGTCGGGGATGCCGTGAGCGTATGCCGGGGGGGGGGGGGGGCGTGCGTGAACGTATCCTGGGAGTGCCGTGAACGTATGCCGGGGGTGCCGTGAACGTATGCCGGGGGTACCGTGAACGTATGCCGGGGGTACCGTGAACGTATGCCGGGGGTGCCGTGAGCGTATGCCGGGGGTGCCGTGAACGTGTGCCGGGGGTGCCGTGAGCGTATGCCAGGGGGGCCGCGGCAATATTGAAGAAAAGTCCGCTTAAAAAAAGTGTGAAATTAATAAAGGAGGCATGTAGATACTTAAAAGTTAAAATTTAAATTCTCCCTCTCACCAATGTCGAAAATAGTTTATTTCTTGTTTCAGAACCGCTGCATTAACCTATCGTTAGCCCGACCCGGTGACGTCAGCAGCACGGCCCGTCAGCTTGATCAGGTCGTGGCTTGCCAATACAATATAATCTATATGCTTTTGGAAAACCTGGGTACTTGCCTGTCGTAATCAAAGTCGGTGACGTAGGTCCATGGGCAGAGCGACACTCGGTGAAGACCCGGTCGCGTGGTTCTGTATTCAGGCATGGCCGGGCAGACGTCTTGCAGATTGTGTTGAAATCTGCTGGTATCTACAGGGACAGAAACAGTTATGCTCATATTTCAGCAACAGTTAATAGATTGTGTTGAAATCTGCTGGTATCTACAGGGACAGAAACAGTTATGCTCATATTTCAGCAACAGTTAACAGATTGTGTTGAAACCTGCTGGTATCTACAGGGACAGAAACAGTTATGCTTAAATTTCAGCAACAGTTAATTGTGCTTTGGATGAAGTGACATGGGGGTTATCATAGGGCCTTGTGGTCGATTTTCTCAGTATGATGCAAGTCGTCGAAAGCTGAAACTTTATTTTGATTTTTCTGGTTACAGTGCCGCTTGCTGCGGTCACCTCTCCGTATCATAGCAGAGCATGGTGCTGTGTTATTATGTCCTCCATGTGACACTCATAACTAAGTTCATTTCAAGTTGTGGATGTTTTATAAAAAAAGATATTCTGTGGATTCACCTTTACGTTGTTATTGGACGGTAGTGGTTTGTATGCTAAAGCCTTCTCAGACAAGGGCGACAAGATCAGAGAATGCACAGTCGACTCGCTGGGCAAGTTGTCATTCATCAGAAGTTCAAAACGGGCACAAGTAGATCGAATAGGCCAGCTCCCATGCTAACAATAAACAAATGAGGAAACCAATATAATTAATATGTTGTGTGATATTGGTAGATCCACATATGGATCCTGGTAGGTGATACGAGGTTCGTGCATTGTGTGATCGATGACAGGAGACTGGAGCCCTTATGGAGAACTTGCAATGAAAAAACGAAAGCCGCAAGTGATAGCGTCTACATTGTTATTTTACTTTCATTATCTTACGTCTCTGGTATACCAAATACAGCATTGACAAGCCAAATCCATTCAGTTGTTAATCAAATTCATCAGTAATTTTAATTGGGTTTAATTTTTATGAAGAGAGTTCAAGAAAGTATTGTAGAAAGTATTTTTATGTGAAAGGTGAATTTAATTTACAGAACTGTGATTCTGATTTAGAAATATGTGAATTTGATTTTGTAATAGGAAACAGTTGAATTTCAAGAGGGTGAAATTGATTTGTACAAAAGTGGAACTGATGTGCAAATATATTGTATCTGACTTGCCAATTCTGTAGAAAAAAAAAAACCACAGGTAGTGTTGCAAGATATCATTATCATGTTTTAAATGCCAAAAGTGGGGTATCTACGAATCACGTTGACTACAAAGACTACCTATCCATCTTTGGCACATACTGACAGATTGTTGTTCGTCATTCACGTGGGTATATCTTTATACTTGTCTGCTGCCAACCTCCGCCGCGCTTCTCGTCTGATTTACGCATCATTATTGTTCTGATCAGAGTGTTATAACTTTTGTACTGGTCAAAATGTTGTCATTTCTCTCTTCCATCATCGCCATGTTTATTAAAATGGAAGCGAATGCAGGGAACATAAACAGGGAAATGATTTGATTTGATTCAAGAACCGACATCACAGCACTCGGGGCACTCCCAATAGCGCTCCGTCCCCATCTTCAGCAGCCAGCGAAGAGTTCCGATACTAATGGTGCCGGTAGCATTCTGATTAAACGTCCGTCTTGCCTTTCCTCTGAGCATCTGCCAGAACCTCTCGTCACTCCCAACAACGTCAATCTCACCAGACTGTGGTGATCGATCTGCTCCTCCGCACTGTAAAGAAGACACTAACCACGTCTACAGGGGAAGTAAACTTTAAAATAATCGACGCACTTTTGACTGCAAATTCGCTAACTTGGATGAAATTTAACTAAACAACAAGTTTTTTTATTTTTTTTTAACGTCAAATGATTTTATTTAGGAAAGTTTTTAAAATCGGTTTATCACTAACAAATCTTCGATGATTGGTACTTGTCAGTCTAGAAGCAGGAGTGTGTTTCTTGGTCAGCGCGTCACTTACAGTGAGTTACCCTACAGTGAAGCCATTTTTATAGGTTAACATTTATCTTCCTACGAAACTACTCTTGTTTGTAACCAGTTATCCCCATGTAGGATGCACTTTTTCGTTTTTTAAAGCCCCACCTTGGCTCTTGCCAGGGGTTGCAATATAGCCCGGCCATAAATATGGTCTAATGGCAGAACACGGTTTCCGGGACCTCTCCAGGGTAATCATCATCCCCATGGTTGCACTTTGTGTCATCGGGTGTTTATCGCTTGTGTGATGTCCTGGTGGGGTAGAATGTACTACTACTAATGTTGACATTGCTGGCCCGTTGAGAGCTGCAGGTGACACCGGGCGGGTGTAGCCGGTGCCCTTATTATAAATTACTTGGAGATTGAACAGAATATCTGTGTTTGTCCTGCTGCTCTGCCACCAAGACTGAGATTCTGTTAACTCATCGTGTCAAACCTCCACTGTAACCTGTACAGTACAGGAAGTGGATACACGCAATTCGCACACAGACAGACAGACAGGCAGCAGGCACACAGACAGACAGACAGACAGAGAGAGAGACAGACAGACAGACAGACAGACAGACAGACAGACAGACAGACAGACAGACAGACAGACAGACAGACAGACAGACAGACAGACAGACAGACAGACAGACAGACAGACAGACAGACAGACAGACAGACAAACTTGCCTGTGGAGGGATATGTCGGGGAGTAGGAGAGGTTGCCCAACTGTTGTGCCCAGAACGACAAGCTGTCCTCAACGTCCCGACACTCGGTTGTCATCTCGGCCCAGCTGCTGACTGTACACAGCATCAATGTCACCGCCAGCTCCACCAGTAGCGACACCTAGCGGTTCAATACAGACACAAAATATGTGAGTGCAGCTATGGAAGAAGGTGGATTTATGACATCAAAGTATTGTACATCCACTCGGAATGAGTGCAGCTATGGAAGAAGGTGGATTTATGACATCAAAGTATTGTACATCCACTCGGAATGAGTGCAGCTATGGGAGAAGGTGGATTTATTAAATCAAAGTATTGTACATCCACTCGAAATGAGTGCAGCTATGGGAAAAGATGGATTTATGAGATCAAAGTATTGTACATCCACTTGGAATGAGTGCAGCTATGGGAGAAGATGGATTTATGACATCAAAGTATTGTACATCCACTCAGAATGAGTGCAGCTATGGGAGAAGATGGATTTATGACATCAAAGTATTATACATCCACGTGGAATGAGTGCAGCTATGGGAGAAGATGGATTTATGACATTGGAGTATTGTACATCCACTTGGAATGAGTGCAGCTATGGGAGAAGATGGATTTATGACATCAAAGTATTGTACATCCACTCGGAATGAGTGCAGCTATGGGAGAAGATGGATTTATGACATCAAAGTATTGTACATCCACTCGGAATGAGTGCAGCTATGGGAGAAGATGGGTTTATGACATCAAAGTATTGTACATCCACTCGTAATGAGTGCATGGGAGAAAATGGATCTATGGCAATGCGGATATTGCAAATCCGCACGTACTGATATTGGTCAGTGCCATTCGTCAAGTGGTGGACCGTAGACTTCCTTCCTACGGCACTTAGCCGCAGATGTGGAAGTGATGAAGATGATGATTAACTATTTGATATAGTTCTGGAAACCACATACATTTATATGTTTGACCTACACCACACAATACGGAAGTCGCTAGTCACTAAGACAAATGATAGATTGGACACACTCAGATGGGAGTCGTCGTGGCGTAGCGGCTAGACGCTAGCTTGAGGATCGGAAGGTCGTGGGCTCACGGAGCCGGACTTTTTTCAAAAATGACCCTGACTCCCAGGTGGATCCAACCTTAAGTGAGTCCCGGGTACAGTCCCTGGAAGTAAAGGCGACCGGAGTCAAGCTGACTACATCACCCATCTTATGCCCATTAGTCTTAAACAAAAAAGGTTTAGCCCAATATGTTCTATACGCCTAAAGGTGTTAAAAAAAAAAAAGGAGCTTTTCTTGACTTTTTCTATGTTGCAGTATCATTCGGAACAGCTGACATTATCTGACACCCCACAGGGACACAGAAAGCATGTAAACACATGCTATACGAGTCATTTGGGCTGTACACGGAGCACACGAGTCATTTGGGCTGTACACGGAGCACACGAGTCATTTGGGCTGTACACGGAGCACACGAGTCATTTGGGCTGTACCAGGAGCACACGAGTCATTTGGGCTGTACACGGAGCACACGAGTCATTTGGGCTGTACACGGAGCACACGAGTCATTTGGGCTGTACACGGAGCACACGAGTCGTTTGGCTGTAACACGGAGCACACGAGTCGTTTGGGCTGTACACGGAGCACACGAGTCATTTGGGCTGTACACGGAGCACACGAGTCATTTGGGGCTGTACCACGGAGCACACGAGTCATTTGGGCTGTACACGGAGCACACGAGTCCATTTGGGCTGTACACGGAGCACACGAGTCATTTGGCTGTACACGGGAGCACACGAGTCGTTTGGGCTGTAACACGGAGCACACGAGTCATTTGGGCTGTACACGGAGCACACGAGTCATTTGGGCTGTACACGGAGCACACGAGTCGTTTGGGCTGTACACGGAGCACCACGAGTCGTTTGGGCTGTACACGAGCACACGAGTCATTTGGGCTGTACACGGAGCACACGAGTCATTTGGGCTGTACACGGAGCACACGAGTCATTTGGGCTGTACACGGAGCACACGAGTCGTTTGGGCTGTACACGGAGCACACGAGTCATTTGGGCTGTACACGGAGCACACGAGTCATTTGGGCTGTACACGGAGCACACGAGTCATTTGGGCTGTACACGGAGCACACGAGTCGTGTAATGCCGGAGTGCCAGGTTCGACCCCAGCTGCGAAGTTTGTCTTGCGTTAGTTTCGATAGTAGTACAGAGAGCTGACCGTTTAGAAAGCAATGGCAAACTACTGAACGTACAATTTGCCTAAAAAAACTACAAGAGCCAAAAATGCTGGAGTTGGTTCTGCAACATCCTGAAAAGGATACGCAATACTAACTTTACATACCTGTCACTACAGATCTAACGTGTATATAATGACATCACATTCGGTGTGCTCGGTGTGAGTTTTTATTGATCATCTCTCGCATCGACGCCCATGTTTCAACAGCCATCGATCCCCGTTTCTCACTGACTAAAGTAACTTTTAGGTTAGTTGCTTATCCTTAACAGGACTTTGCAGAACCAGCCCCAGCATTTGTTGGCTGTTGTGTTTTTTCTAGGCAAATTTACGTCCAGTAGTTTGCCATTAGTATCCATCGTCGTCCAACACTCTGGAAATTGCTTAACATCTATAGTTTCCCCATCAAATATATCAACATCATAAAATCTTTTTATAATGAAACACGATGCTGTGTAAGAACTGAATCCGGCAATTCTGACTGGTTCCCGATGGAAACAGGAGTGAAGCAAGGCTGTGTCCTATCGCCGATGCTTTTTGATATAGCAATCGACTGGGTCATGCGCAAGTGCATAAATAACGCAAATTTAGGCATTACATGGGTTGACAAAATTCTGAAAAAATCAAGAAAAAATCAATCGACTCCAGAATTTCTCAGAACAAATTGGACTCCAAATTAACACCGCAAAAACAAAAATTCTAGACCTTACCAACAGTTCAGTTGATATCACGCTGAACAACAACAGCCTTGAAAAAGTCAACAGTTTCACTTATCTAGGGAGCAAGATGTCATCTACAGGAGATACCGCACCAGAAATACTATTTAGAATAGCACTGGCATCTAGTGCCTTCAATAAACTGTCCAACATCTAGAAATCAAAGACACTTAGCAAACACACAAAACTCAAGATCTTCAATTCTTGTGTGATTCCAGTACTAACCTATGGATGCGAGAGCTGGAAATCAACGAAAACTCTAAACACAAAATTAGACAATTTTGAAAATAAATGCCTTAGAAGAATACTAAATTTCAAATGGTCAGATTTCTGAACCAATACACAAATAAGGCAAGAATCCAGGCAAGATTATGTGTCTAATTTTATACGAAAACGCCGCTGGAACTATGTCGGCCACGCCCTTAAAATGGATAAATCAAGACTTCCTTACCAAGCCCTCATTTGGACACCACAGGGGAAAAGATCTCGTGGAAGACCAAGGGAAACTCTACGTAGAACTATCATCATGGAAGGCTCGCTCATGGGCCACTCAAACTTCCAAGACCTACAACAGATTGCAACGAACCGTCATGCATGGAGAGTCATGACCTCTGCCCTATGTGCCGCACTCGACACAAGAGGAAAGACTTACTAACTAACTAACCAAGTTTGCCATTGCCTCTGGACGGTCGGCTTCTCGATACCCCTGTCGAAACCAACGCAAGACGCAAAGCCCGCAGCTGGGATCAAACCCGGCACCCCGGCATTACAAAGCGCGTTCGCAACGCCTAAGCATAACAGAACCCTTGACCGGTTAGGGTCGTGGGGGTGTATTGATGAAAGCATTATCACACAAAATCCGGCCATCTTTCTTGTCTTCCGCTTGATGAATAAGTATATAAAAACTTAGTCCTGTTCGTTTCTTGATGTTGTCATTCCAGGTTCTTTTGTGCCCTCCTCTTCTTCGACCCCCCCCCCCCCCCCCCCCCCCCCCCCCCCCCCCCCGCCAACATGTTCATTAAAGTACAGTCTAAAGTAACTATCACCTATGAAAGCCTGTTTTGCTGGGCGGCGCTGTAGCTAATGCCTTCCCTGTTCGCTATCTTGTCAATTACATACACACATTTCTGACACAGACTTCCCGTGTGCCTTCTAAGAGCTGCCTTTTTTTTTTCAGCTCTTGGGTTTGGTATTAGGCCTGGCCTCGTGTATCTCTTTTTGTTTGAAGTAACGTGCACACATAGCTACTTGTGGAGAGCTGCTGGGGCTTAACGTGGCTGAACCGATAGTTTGCGGGGTCGATAGGTTTAGACAGTAACGAAAGGGTAATAACATAGAAAGGGTATCCTAGGAGTAGAGTGACTTGTATCGCTTGACGTGACTAAGAACAGAAACTTAACATGGATTTTCTGCCCAGGATATTTTGGGGTACAGTGTAACGAGTAGCTGACATATTGGCAGCTGCCGCCTCTCTGTCGATGAGCTGCTGTTTGGAGACGTGGTGAGGGCTGACTGTGATCAAGTGCACAGTCGAACACAGCAGACTTCTTCTTCTTCAGCGTTCCAAGCTCTTGAGGTTCATTGCTGCAGATATCACCAGCCTCCATCCATCTCTCTGGTTGGCCTTCTCTTTCCAGTTGGTGATACCAAGTGTTTTCAGGTCTGCCTGGACGTTATCTCTCCACCACCTCGTGGTCTACGACCATTCATCAACTTTGTGTATACAGTTTGCACTTCTCTGTCATCTGACATTCTTTCACTATGCCCCATCCATTTCAGTCTATTAGCTCTCATGATGCCAGTTATCAATGATGATTTATACAGAATATGAATTTCGTTGTTGCTTCTCACTCTCCATTCCGCGTTGTTTGCATCTTTGATGGATTCAAAGAATTGTCGTAATGTACCGATGCTTCATACCTTTTAGATGTGCTTCAAGTTTCAGAGCCAAATACAACGATTGGTCTTATCAACGTTTAATATATTTTTTAGCTTAGTGTTGCGAGATAGAGGCTTTGAATTTAGAGAACACAGCAGACAGAGAATCCAAATACCGAAAGCAGAGGTTCTGGGTGGTTTTTTAAAGGAAGTAAAAAGACATGTGAACTTTTAAGGCCCCTCACTTACCCCATCAATATGGGAACTCTTCGTTGGCTACCTAGGAAAGGGACAGAGTACTTGTGGGGCCGCCCTAACTTATGGGCATGCTGGGCATTTGCCTTGAGGTCTCACCAGTTTGGGGGCACCATGCTGATCTGTGTGTATGATTAATATTGCCAATTTTCATTTCATTCCTGTTAGGGCGTGTGGTAGGGGCCTCAGCACACTGGTTTGCACAGGAGCTCCTAATGCTGTAAAGATTGCTATGGGAATGCCCCGGGCCAGTGACATCAATTCTTGATTGACTGATTCATTTACATAAATTTTTTTTCAGCCTCTATACGACACGATTAAACTGGAAAACATAGAACACATACCGGAGTAGATAGTGGACAGAATAGGACAGTCCTCGGTGCTTTCTTAATATCCTACCCCAAACAGGGAACATAGGCTACATGCAGTCGTGGGATTTTGGTTGCACTCTCTCGTGGGATGTAGGTGGGTTGGGGTTAAGGGCAGTTCTAGATGTTTTGGGGTCGTTAAAGGCAAGGCATCAGGTGTTGATGGAATATCAGCCGAGGCAATACAGGCTTGTGGAGAAATTGGAGTCACCTGGCTACTCCACATATTTAGGAAAGCCTGGAATGAAAGAACTGTACCAATAGACTCGCAAAGAGCCCTTATAGTCCCAATTTGGAAAAGAAAAGGCAATAAGCAAGATTGTAACAATTACAGAGGCATCTCCCTTCTAAGCCACGTAGGAAAAATGTTTGCCACAATTCTGGAACAACGAATTAGATCCGTTGTAGAACCGATCCTGAGCCCATCACAGGTCGGATTTAGGAAAGGAAGAGGGTGTACTGACGCTATTTTTGCTTTAAGACAAGTTAGCGAAAAGACAATAGAACACAGACATCAAATGAACATCGCTTTCATAGATCAAGAAAAAGCTTTCGATAGAGTAAACAGAAATTTATTATGGAAAGTTCTTGAAAACTACGGTATAAATGGAACAATTTTAGATTGTGTTAGGGCTATTTATAGACAAAGTGAAAGCGCCTTTAGAACAAGAGCTGGCATCACAGACTGGTTCCCAGTAACATCAGGAGTAAGACAAGGTTGTGTATTATCACCTTTACTTTTCATAATATTTATGGACAATATTAATAAAATAGACATAACACCAACAGATGTCGATAAACAGGAGGACTTCAATGAGCTGCTCTTTGCCGACGATCAATGCCTATTACACAGTGATAGTAAACAGCTGCAAGACCACATAAACCTACTACACGACA